GATGTGTTAAATGGATAAAAAGTGATAGTAAAGACTCATATTGTTAGAAAATAATTTAATTTTAAATAAATGCTGTTCTTTTTAACTTTTTATTCATACAAGAATCCAGAAAAAAAGTATCAGTTTCCAAAAAAAAAAAAAACATGAAGCAGCACAACTGTTTCCAGCACTGATAATAAATCAGCATATTAGAATGATTTCTGAAGGATCATGTGACTCTGAAGACTGGAGTAATGCTGGTGAAAATTCAGCTTTGATCACAGAAATAAATTATATTTTAAAGTACATTAAAACAGAAAACCAATAGTAGAAATTGAAATAATATCTCACAATATTACATTTTTTTCTGTATTTTTGATCAAATAAATACAGCCTTGATGAGCACAAGAGACTCCATTAAAAAACATTACAAATCTTACTGATCCCAACCTTTTGAATGGCAGTGTATATGTATGTAGGCATATGTATGTATTAGAATTAAACAGCTGGCATACAAGCAAAAATAGCCAGTAAAATAATCTTGTAAGCAGAAATAAGTATGTATCTTTCTATTGTTTCAGTTTCATTTTTAAATTTCTCCAGAATTTCCAGACGGCAAGTCAAACTGACAATTACCACAACTTGTGGTCTGTGGCACATGACAGCTATGTGAAGAAGACATGTTGCCACAAGACCCAATATTTTCAGCTGGTATCAGTGATGCATTTTAAACACACTCTAGATAAACTTGCCCACAAATAAAAGTTCTTGGAAGTGTTCAAAAATAAGCAGACCTTATGCTATTTTGCAAAACCATTCTCCAAACACAACAAATACAAATCAAAATCATATACAGTGTTAACAAGAAAATTAACCATTAAAATATTTTTACACATAGTTTTGGTATTTACTATTGTGTACTATTGTGTATTTGTTTCATAATTGCATATATATTTTCTGTGTGCAATTGATACCTATGGCATTCACTAAAATGTACAACTGCTATAAAAATGACTTTTAAGATAAAATAAAGATAATAAAATCTTTTATAATTAAAATCCATACATTGTGTAATAGAATGCTAGAATGGTTTACATTAAATTTATTCTAACCAATAGTACATTTACTGATGTAGTGGGCAGTATCAGAGGTTTAAAACAGATAAGCTTTTGGGCTCTGTTTATTTGAGATATTTATACATCTATTACTTAGCATATTTCACATAGCTCATTTACCTTTCATTGTCTTGGTCCGAGTCTTGGTCTTCCATGTATGGATATGCTTGGCTGGATTTTAGTGGTTGGCTACTTGCAGTGTTGCTCTCCTCTGGTAAGAGTTGACTGCTCTGCTGCTCTTCAAGTTTCTCCCGTTCATTTGTTGACATAGTCTATCACATGAAACATTCAGCTATTCTTCAGCCATATATAAAAGATTGTTTTGTTTTAAACTTCCTTTGCACTTTCATTTATAATTAGTTTTATTCTGCTAGAATTACTTGGAAATGTAGCTAAACATGCACATCTATTAAGTTGTGTCTATAAGCATTTTGATTCTGATCAGTTTCTTTAATGTTGCAATTTATGTATTTTCTTACCCTCTCAGTGAAATCCACTGCTAAATGAGAAAGCTAACTTGCATATGGCGTGTCTGACACAAACATATACAACATTCACTCAGCAGACCCTGTTTACACCACACTGTTTTCTGACTTGTATATACTGATATAGGAAGGGATGCATGTAGCCCCATTGGGTGGAGTGTGCGCGAGTCCAAATTTACATACACAAGTTGTGTAACTTGAGTATTGCTTTTGACATTTTCCCTTCCAAAAGCTGTTTCCCCATGGTAATATTTTATTAAGGAAGCAGTTTTGACTCTGCAGAGGTGTTAAACAATAGCTTGATGATTGTTGATTGATTGAACAGATCTCCAAAAATATACCTGATCAAATTCTTTTATATTGATAATTTACTCAAAGGTCCAGTAGTGTGGGAAGCTGGACTTTTACCTATCAATACATACCCTGTGTCATAATACAGTCCACCATGTTACCTCTACCACAACTTGATTTCCTAATTCAGAAATCAGTACTTGTAACCACAATATGTACAGATTGGATTGTACCCTTGTTACCCAGAGCATATGAGACACTAAGTAGTACTATGTGTTATATAATATATTACCCTTTAAGTATCCAGTACAAATACACACATACATCAGCAAGTGCCAGTGCAGTTATTTCTTTTTTACTGTCACTGTAAAGAGTTTTCAGTTTGCTATCTGACCTGCTTATTTCAGGATGACATTACAAAAACAGGTTCTGACATTACAAAAACAGGTTCTGACATTACAAAAACAGGTTCTGACATTACAAAAACAGGTTCTGACATTACAAAAACAGGTTCTTGAGAGAAAAAAGCCTTAGAACTCAAAGTCCATCACTATGCTGCTAATCTTTGTCATGAGACCTGCAACCAGCCAAGCAAATGGTAATAAATGTTTTCTGTGGTCATGATGATCTGACAATGCAGTTATAGACGTCAAGTATCTCTTTTGCTTTCACTTGTGTTTCAAGATATTGTCACTGAATAAGAGTCAGATGGTCTATGAATGTTTCCCCCCCCCCACTTTAATGACTATCGCAAACCAGATCACACACACAAGTTTTTTTAGTGGGATTTCCATGATGTGCAACTGTTATTAAAACTTCTTACACAATCTGAAGCATTTTACAAATAGAAACCAACGTCATCTGCATCCCGTGTCTGATAAAGTGTACAGAACATGAACTCGTGAACTCTAACCTTGATGGTGGAGGCAGCAGTGAGGTCAGGAAATGTAATGACATTATTGGTCACATTGCTTTTTTCCATGGTTAACTGTCTGTCTGTGTGTATTTTAGATAATGCACAATGTATATGTCTAGGTCAGCAATTTCGGAGTTGTGTGACTAACTGAAATATTAGAAGAGAAATCTCTGAAAGACATACCCACAAAAAATTTATCATTCTGGTTCTGGAAAATTTATGACAACTAAATTGTGCAATTAAATATTTATAAGTCATTCGTCGCTCTGATTACAAAATGTGGGCGATTCTTTTATCTACTTCCTAAATTCTCAAATGACAGTAGGTGAAAAACATTTTGCGCTTTGAACAGAACACAGAATAGCATACATAAATGGTAAAGGCAGTAAGGCACTTATTGTTATAAAAAGGCAACTCTTTCTGCAAAAGACTACTTATCCCTATAAAGACGGCAAACAGGCAATGCAGAAGACTACCCACAAAAGAGTAGACGCAAAATATATTACCCTTTAAGTATCCAGTACAAACACACATACATCAGCAAGTGCCAGTGCAGTTATTTCTTTTTTACTATCACTGTAAAGAGTTTTCAGTTTGCTATCTGACCTGCTTATTTCAGGATGACATTACAAAAACAGGTTCTGACATTACAAAAACAGGTTCTGACATTACAAAAACAGGTTCTTGAGAGAAAAAAGCCTTAGAACTCAAAGTCCATCACTATGCTGCTAATCTTTGTCATGAGACCTGCAACCAGCCAAGCAAATGGTAATAAATGTTTTCTGTGGTCATGATGATCTGACAATGCAGTTATAGACGTCAAGTATCTCTTTTGCTTTCACTTGTGTTTCA